TTGGGGAGCGATCTCACGTTCCCCATAATAATAGATGGAATTGCTGGCCGGTACCTCCTAACCTTACTGCGACGCCCGATCCCAGCCCGTGTACTGCGTCTCTTCCTCCTCACCTCGCGGGGGTTGTTGGCTCGCTCGGCGGCAGGCAGCACAGTGGAGGCCTCGAGGGCTAACAGCTGATCCCTACCGTAAACAACAGGAGATCTATCTTTTCGGAGCCATGATAACAGGGTTCTTGTTGATCGGAGCTGGCTTGGCCCTGGCTTATCGAAGATTAAAGAAAGCGGAATCGGCTGATCAAAACCCCACTAGGCTGCCCGCTGTGATTGAAACGATGGGACGAGTCGTGAGTTCTCAAAATGGGCTCATTGAGCCCAGCACGGATAAGATCTTGGAGAAGATTGAGGCTGCTGTGAGCACTCAGAATAAGACCTCTGAGCGAAAATTGGATTACATCTTGGAGAAGCTCACGGCGGACATGAGTTCTCAGAATTTGCTCTTTGAGCGCAAGACTGATAACATCATGGAGAAGCTCACGGCTCTCCAACGGGAGATTGAGAGACCAGTGTCGGACTGCTAGAACAGCTTTGAAATGCGTATGATTTGTTCGCACTAAAGTAAAAACCACCATCATTTCATGCGGCTACCACTTCGGCGCCAGCTGTGGTTTCAAGGCTGGAGCTGAACAAAAACACCCTGATAACGACTGTGCACAGACTGTTCTTCCTATCCTACGCAAGGCCACCTGGGTTGGCTGGAAGACTGTTTACTTAGCCTGGCAGGGCGAAGGACACTGTCTCAGCTGAACTCTGGACACACACACACACAAACACATACACTGATACACACACACACACATACATATGCAGATATCCTTTCCCGGAACCAACTCCTCCTGCCATGCTTAAATCCCCGTCGATGGAGACAGTGGCTCAGCTGGAGGCGCGAAGAATCGCAGTGTCTGCGACCACTGTTGTACAATGGCGTACCCCCGCCCTTATGTTGCTGGTCTGTGTTTCATGGCGTATAGTGTGATGATATCTGTGCTCTTTATGTGCTATGGAGTTTTTTTTGTGTTTTCTCCTCATGATGACTCAGAGTCATCATGGGCAGAAACCTTTTTTTCTCTCCTGACCTTGCCCTTATATGTTATATATTTCACTGTCTACCCCTCCTTTTTTTGCTGCCTAGCCTGACCTGTCTCCCCATTGTAAGTCTGTATATTGTATGTATTGTCTGTATGGTCATCTAGGTCTGTCATCTCAGCTACAGGCAACTGCAACTGACAAATAAAGCTTATCCTTATCCTTATGATCTGAAACATTTAAGTGTCAGAAATATGCAAAAAATCTCTAGAATATTTTGTATCACCCCCATAGAGCAATTTGTTTTCAACTGGTTCACTAGAGTTTCTAAAAATGCAAGAAAGGTGTGTGAGGTGTGTTCAAGATGGCGCCGGTGTGTTCAAGATGGCGCCGGTGTGTGTGGCTTTCCATCTGTCACTGCCAGTGTTATGTTTGTTTGTGTTGATTCTATTGACTATTGTAATAAATGCCAACTCTCTCTTGGTGTATGATCACCAAACTCTAGTGGATCTCCGACCTTCTGCCAACGATTGGGCAAACTATCTTTTCTTTCCAAAATTCTTGAAAAGGTAGTTCACACCAAATTAATGGCCTTCCTGGTGCTTTAGAGGATTTCCAATCTAGTTTTAAACCCTATCATAGCACTGAATCAGCCCCTTTAAATGTTTTTAATTACATATTTTTAGCCACTGAGGCTGGGGACTATGTTGTTCTAGTGCTTTTAGATTTAACAGCTGCTTTGATACCGTGGATCATGCCATTTTACTCTCTTCTTTGGAGCACTGGGTGGGCATTAGGGGCACAACACTGGAGTGGTTCAGGTCCTACTTGGCGGGGTGAACTTTCTGTGTCAGTCTCGGTGACCATGTGTCGTCCTCCACTCCTCTCTTGTGTGGTGTCCCACGGGGCTCAGTTCTTGGCCCCCTCCTCTTTTCTTTATATGTGCTTCCTCTTGGTTCTGTACTGAGAAAGCACGGCATTGCATTCAACTTTTATGCTGATGACTGTCAGATCTATGTCCCTCTAAAGAAAAAAGGCACATACTCCACACAGCCATTAATTCAGTGTCTCGATAACATTAAGGCTTGGATATCTCTTAACTCTTTAAAATTCAATGATAAAAAGACTGAGGTGATGGTTTTTGGTGGCCCCACTGAGACCCCCAATGTGTATTTAGATACCTTGGCCCAGTATGTTAAACCAGCTGTCACAAACCTGGGGGTCAAAGTGGACTTTGATCTGAAGCTTGACAATCAGATTAAGGCAGTGGTAAAATCAAACTTTTTTTTAGCTCAGACAGCTGGCAAAAATAAAGCCAATTCTTTCACGGCAGCACTTTGAGACAGTGATCCACGCCTTTGTTAGCACTTGGCTGGATTACTGTAATGCGCTTTATATAGGGGTCAGTGCTTCATACATTACTCATCTACAGAGGGTGCAAAATGCCGCAGCTCATCTTTTAACTGGCACTTGAAAGTTTCCCCTATTTTAGCTTCACTTCACTGGCTGCCCATTTCTTTTAGGATTCAGTTCAAAGTTCTTTTATTTGCTTTTAAAGCTCTCCATGGCCAAGTCCCATCTCATCTCTCTGAGCTGCTACAGTCTTATACTGTACATCCACCCGCTCTCTCAGGTCAGCTGATCAGCTGCTCCTGAATGTAACCATGGGCGTAAACTTAGAGGAGATTGTGCTTTTGCTGTAGCAGCTCCTGAACTGTGGAGTGATCTCCCTTTAGAGATTAGACAGGCTTCCTCCATACCTGTTTTTAAGTCTCTCCCGAAAACCCACCTCTTTACCCTGACCTTTGACACCACGTGAAATGTTTGTTTTTTATTTTTAAGTTGTGTTTTATTTGTTTTTAGTTGATCCCATGCTGTTTTATCTTGTTTGTTTAATATAGAGCTGTTTTAATTTTTAATGTTTACGTATTATGTGTTTTATTTTTTTATTTATTTTATTTAATTTTTTACTTATTTTCTGTACAGCACTTTATCCTGTGCTGGGTATTTTAAAGTGCTTTATAAATAAAATTGGATTGGATTGTGTTACAGAATAAATATACAGGGAGTGCATAATTATTAGGCAAGTTGTATTTTTGAGGAATAATGTTATTATTGAACAACAACCATGTTCTCAATGAACCCAAAAAACTCATTAATATCAAAGCTGAATGTTTTTGGAAGGAGTTTTTAGTTTTTTTAGTTTTAGCTATTTTAGGGGGATATCTGTGTGTGCAGGTGACTATTACTGTGCATAATTATTAGGCAACTTAACAAAAAACAAATATATACCCATTTCAATTATTTATTTTTACCAGTGAAACCAATATAACATCTCCACATTCACAAATATACATTTCTGACATTCAAAAACAAAACAAAAACAAATCAGTGACCAATATAGCCACCTTTCTTTGCAAGGACACTCAAAAGCCTGCCATCCATGGATTCTGTCAGTTTTGATCTGTTCACCATCAACATTGCGTGCAGCAGCAACCACAGCCTCCCAGACACTGTTCAGAGAGGTGTACTGTTTTCCCTCCTTGTAAATCTCACATTTGATGATGGACCACAGGTTCTCAATGGGGTTCAGATCAGGTGAACAAGGTGGCCATGTCATTAGTTTTTCTTCTTTTATACCCTTTCTTGCCAGCCACGCTGTGGAGTACTTGGGCGCGTGTGATGGAGCATTGTCCTGCATGAAATTCATGTTTTTCTTGAAGGATGCAGACTTCTTCCTGTACCACTGCTTGAAGAAGGTGTCTTCCAGAAACTGGCAGTAGGACTGGGAGTTGAGCTTGACTCCATCCTCAACCCGAAAAGGCCCCACAAGCTCATCTTTGATGATACCAGCCCAAACCAGTACTCCACCTCCACCTTGAGTTGGACTGGAGCTCTCTGCCCTCCTCTCTGAAAAGGATGATGTGGACAAAATACTAATTTGCCTAATAATTCTGCACTCCCTGTATATTCTTAGTGCTTATTTTCTGATTATATTGTTTTATGTATTTTAATAATAAAGGCCTGTATAAAGGCCAGCTGTGAGAGAGAACTAGGTCAGAGGGGGACAGGTCGCCTTAGCAACAGAGGCTTAAGTTAGTGGAAGTTTAAGAAACAGGAAGTTTAGTGCAGAGCTGCAGAGGCATATTAATCAAATACAGGAAACCAGACAGAAAAAGCGGAACTAGTAACACAGAAGGAGTTGTTTTTATCGAAACTGTGTGACGTGTAAAGGACCAAAATAACACCTATATGAGACACATTTTTGGCTTCTAATGGTAGAGATTTTGCAACTGGCTTTGGGCTGTGCAGGTCTCTCTCTTCTGGAAGATGAATAAATAAAAAAAATTATGAATATCTTGACTAAATGAGTCGTGTTCTCTCTATTCAGTAAAAGAATGACAAGAATCAGATTTAATAATTGGAAAACAAAAAACCATAAATACATCATTTGTGAAAACAGCAAGAATTATTTTTTATGAACACACCTGATTTGGATGACTGGATTTGCTATGTACTCAGAAAAAATCTTATGTCTGCTTCAGTTTTAAAAGGATGACATTCTTTAACAAAATCACTCTGCAGTGTTGAAACCCACAGCTCTTTCAAACACCCTCTGAGCATCATCAGCAAGCTTATTAAGAGAAAACATCAGAAGTTTGTAGGGGGTGATATAAGAGAGACTCATTGCTGCTGGGCTCCCAAATTTTGGAATGGATCTCGAACGATCCTTTACTGCCAATAACGCAGCTGTAACTGTAAGAGTGATCAACACCTTCATGATGAGATATTTGTCAGTTTCTACTCCAGCTAATGGCGACTTGATGACAGCACACAGATCCATGTAGGTCACTCCTGATGTGACAGCAAGTTTTTTAAGTGATGGCTTATCAAGACAAAACCCCTGTACACAACCTCTGACAAATGCAGCCATCAAGCTCAGATCAACAGCAGCAGAAACTGCAGCAACTGGAACAGCTCCTGCAGCTGCAGACAGCAGAGTGAAGAACTTTAACTTAGTCAGAAAAGCTTCTTTTTTTCCGTTGTTGATCTCCAGGCTGATATTCTGCACAGGCAATAGCAGAACATGTTTCTTGAGTTCAGGAAGTTCTCTGTCGAAGGTTTCTTGTAAGAGAGAGAAGTCATACAGGTGGGGATGAAAGCTGGACACCAGGAACACCTGTGGAGACTCGATGCCTTGTTCTTTAAGACCTGTGTTAAGTAAAATACAGAGATATGTTTAACTTGATGATTATGATCATAAAGCAGATTTTTCTCATTTCTGTTACATGAAAAAAATCCTACAAACAATACTCCTTCCTTCCAATACTTCCTACTGTGGCTCAATAAAACCTCAACTCTGACACAAAGAATGCCAATTTGTAGAATCTGTAGTTTAACATGTAAATAAGCATGAACACATCTTTTTGGTGTTTATTTTAATACTGTAAGATCATTAAAAGAGACACTCACCTTGAACACAATCTTCCCTCATTTGGGTAAGAGTCCTCTCTTCACTGAAGTCTTTCTTTCTTTGTGCAGCTTTTATGTTGTTATCAATCTTTGTGCGAACAAAGTAGAAATTTTTCTTCATTTTTTGAATCTCCTTTGCGAGTTTCACATCATTTTCTCTGAAGCGATCAGCTGAGATGATGATAAAGAAGTCAAACTTCTCAAATCCAACAAGCTTTAAGTACTCATCCGCTGGAAATTTGGTGCTGCCGATTCCAGGAAGATCCGAGAAAGTAACATTGGGATATTTTGGATGAGGGTACACTGAGGTGGTATCTACAACATCAGCTCCCCCATCTTTATCTTTTATGCCTCTAAAGGCTTTTAGAAAGGATGATTTGCCTGCATCACATTCTCCTGTGATAGCAATATTTAATGGAATATCATTATTTTCTAAATATGTTTTAATCTTTGCAGCTGCTGCAGCAGGATCATTGTTCTTCAGATCACTTTTAACTGAAGCAAATAGATCCTCCATGCTGATCCTTAAACAAAAGCAAAAAAAGTCGTTTAAGTTGCTGCACTTGACTTTGATAAGTCATCAATAGTCAGATGTGATTTTAATCTTATATTTCTTCTTCTCTGTTTCAAGCTGCTTGGTCACATTTTCAGATTCACAGAAACAAAGAGATTCTAAGCCTACAGAAACTTCCTCTGAAGGAGCCGATTTGAGGATTGTTAGGATCTTCAAACTGTGGGATATCTTTAATGTGTCAAATGGTTCATTCCAATAAAGGGGAGGCACTTATTCCAATAAATAAGTGCCTCCCACCTGACCACCTCAGAATCAGTAGGGTTTTTTTTTTTGTTTGTTTTTTTACAAGCAGGGGTAGGCAACCTTTCTGATGACGAGTGCCATCTAAAATTTCCTCAGTAGTCAATGTGCCATATGACTGCATTAGCAAGAAATGTAATAATACTCTGTGTTAACAGTTACACACTATATAGAACAACTTTATAGAATTGTATATTTGTTCGCAGATGTTGGCAGCAATCAGCGAATAATTATCAGCTATTTTGAAAAAAAAAAGACACTTTTTATCCATAACAGCAAATGAACTGTACAACAGAAAATACAAATGCTATTTTAGGTCTCCTCACAACAATGATAAGAGAAATAAACTGGGCCAATATGGCATGTTTGTTAATACAGAGATACACATGTTAATGTGATCTCTGGTCTCCCACTCAGAGACACAGGTCTC